ACTGTAATAACACTGTAATAACACTGTAATAACACTGTAATAACACTGTAATAACACTGTAATAACACTGTAATAACACTGTAATAACCCTTTTTTTTCTAATCTAAACCCGTTATCGTTATCACTATATGGTAGTTTCCGATACACAACACTATGTGTTAACCTGGTTCAGTGAAAACAAGTGCACAAAATCTATTGCAAATAATTTCTACCGCTAAATTACCATCCGAGTTATGTTACTTAAATATCATAACCAAGTTTATAACCAGGTTTCGGGTAATTATAACCAGATTTCGGGTTATTTATACCAGATTTTGAGTTAATTATGACCAGATTTATGTTTATAAAGCATTAATCTTTTTATAACGATATAATCAACAGTTTTTTTTTTCAGATAATTGCAATTGAAAATTCGTATACTAATAATAATACTTAGCATTATTGCACACGTATGTAGGTGCTTTCTTTCCGTGGTGTTGGTAAAATCGGAATATACCGATACGATATTCATACGTATGTATTATGGAGACCCCTTAAAGTAGTTGCACAAAAAGCTTGTTTGACATTTGAAAATATAATAATACCGATATATTTGGATGAAAAATTCGGGATAACAGGTAACGATAGGATGGTGTAATTTAATCTTGACAAACAGAGTTATGATCTCTTGGCAAGCAGTGATCAAAACCCTGAAACTATAATCTTAATCGAAACGAATCTTTACTAAATAAAGCGAAATAATTATTATCGTTATTATATTAACGTTATTCCCAAAATTCCCGTGATATACAACCTCTTATGAATGCCAAAATTCACGTGATATACAACCTTTATGATTTAGTCACATTTGTCGATATCGATAAACTATTAGAACCAGGTGGTAATTAACAATGCATTGGGCAGTTTCAGCTTTACAGCTTTAAAATGATTAATTGTTTCATTGTTTGTATTCCTGATAGGGTATCCAGGGTACTGCGGTGGCAGAATCTGCGCGGAATTTATGCAGAATCTGCGCAGAATCTATGCAGAATTCTGCAAGCAGATTAATAACATTGGTACAGAATTAATAACTTATTGGTGAATATAGTCTATCGTGGTAGAATTAGAAGTTTCTTTTTGTTATAATGTTAGTTTTAAAATGTTATTTTATACGTCATCGCAGAATCTGCTAATTAACGAGAATTGATGCAGAGGTTTTCGGTTAAATATTAAAGAAACATTAAAGAAACATTAAAGAAACATTAAAGAAACATTAAAGAAACATTAAAGAAACATTAAAGAAACATTAAAGATTAAAACTTCTGGCCACTTCTGGCCATTTCGCGTTAAATGATACTAAACAAGCTATTCAAGCTATTAGAGATGATGTAATACAAGCTCTTAATGACAAACATATATTACATTTCCTTTTTTTGAGCCTATGCCCGAAACGGAAATTAGTATCACACACACTTGCTGTTGTTAGACGGACAATCGCAATCGGAAACTTATAATGATAACTAAAGATATTTTCTTTTGAGGTATCCTTGTTTGATAATCGTTAAATGTTTCAGAAATGCATACTTTAAATTGTTGTGTAAAATATAATTTAACTTTCGTAAAACATAATTTAGATTAATATAAATAATCTGTAATTTTTCACCAATACAATGCTTTGCTTTTAATGAAATGGTTCGGCCGGTTTAATTCGACTTATGTAATTAATTTTGACTTATTAATTTACTTATTAAATTTGACTTGGTTTAATCTTAACGTACCAGCAATCAATCAGTTTTTCGATTTTTAAAGTTATTACATACGTAAAATCACGAATAATATTTCTACCATTATCTACCCTGCTGTTAATTTTATATTATTACAATTTTGTAAAACAATTTATACTTTTGTGCATATTTTGATACTTAGGTACAGTGCATACTTTATGTTGCTTATGATACTTAGGTACAGTGCATAATATTTATATTTACATATTTACATGCTTCCGTTCATATGCACGCACGCACGCATGTACATCAATACATCAATATATACTTTAATTTAAATTAAAAACTTAATGGAAACAAATTAATTTTTGAGTAAATTATCTTAATTATATTATTGTTACAATCCCTTTCAAGGTTACAAATAATATTCTATACAGGTGTATAGTATTTCATTTAAAGAAGGTTTGACAATATTAATATTAATAAAACACAATATTAAATTTTTACTTCTTCTAATGACTGTGCTATATAATCTTTGATCACAAAGACAAGGAATTTCAGTAATACCTTCTATATAGAATTCACGATGTATTATACTATCATCTTTTATTCGATCATGCACTTTATTAATTTTCTGACAGGTTTCACGAATTTTATGAAATTTTTTTTTCAGAAACTTTTAATTAAAACCGTAGAAATTTATTGTGTAATGATTTTGCTTATAAATTGACCGTTCACGCCAGGAAAAAAAAAAGAGTTCAACCCCGCGAAAGTGTCTACTGTCATTCCTTACGGATTTCCGTCAACTCCCAGGAGTCCTTACCACATCATTTATTAAACTAAAGGCTTTGAGAGCTTTTGTTTTCCACGTTAAAGTATTGTAATTACTCAAATACACAACAACAAAGATGATTACCATCAAAACCCTTACTTCACTTTTCGTCGTATTGATGCTTTTTAGTATCATTCCTGTACAATGTATTGATACTAAGAAAATGCTCGACTTATGCAATAAAGAACGTTCCAAAGTCGGTGCTCCAGCTCTTACTCATAATGCGTAAGTCTTAAAATTTATATTCCGGATTTGCTTATCTAAAAAAACTTATCCGGCTAAGTTTTATTTGGTTACCATATAATATATTACTAACCTTTATTATTTTTGTATCCCTTTAAATTATAAACTTAATTCAGAGCCCTTTGTAAAGTAGCTGAAGATCACAGTAAATACATGTCAAGCGCTCGCCAGCTTACTCATGACGATCCTGCCGGGAGCTTGGGTACCAGATTCGAAAAACATGGTTACTCCTATACTTGTGCTGGTGAAAACGTAGCAGAAGGTTATTCAGATGAAGAATCTGTTATGAAAGGGTATATATTATATTTATTCAATTTTTATTTATTCACTTCAACCCTTTTTTTATTAATTCTTCTTTATTATCATTTTTGTCGTTTAGTTGGATGAAATCACCTGGTCACAGAGCAAACATTCTCAACAAAGAATTCAAGGATTGTGGTTTTGGTCGTGTTGGAAATTACTGGACCCAAGACTTTGGTGCTACTAATGGTAAAGGCGGCAACGGCAAGTCTGATAAATCTGACAAATCTGACAAATCTGACAAATCTGACAAGTCTGACAAATCTAAGCCAAAACCTGCCCCTAAACCTGCTCCTAAAGAAGATCCACCAGTTAAACATCCTAAACTCATTAAAGTTATTCACCATGAGCCTCCTAAGCATGATGTTCCTATTGCTAAACCCAAGCCTACTTGTACTAAAAAGCTTTAAGCATCTACCTCTTCTTCTTCCTCTCTCCACATAATTACAATACTTTTTACGAAGATGCTTAGTCCTTAATGTTTATACGAGTTTCTCACAAGTGTAGATATTATACACGCCTAATTTATTTTTAATTGTCCTTTTTATACACCTCCAAAATCTTAATTTATTCGAGATGTATTAGATTAATTTTAATAAATTTTTGGATATCTAATGTATTGAAAATTTTTTAGAATTTAGATTTTCAATATATGCTAGTGCATATTATAAGTCCATTTAAGTAAACGTTCTTAAAAAAATAAAAAAAAATTTTTTAATATAATACAGTAATAATGCTTTTTTTAATTTTACAATATAATCTTCTTTCTATATGATCTCATATACAGTAATATTTGTTTTATATTCATTTCATTTCAAACGGGTTACCATTTATTCATTTTATTCTTGCAAAAAAAAAAAAAAAAAAAAAAAAAAATTTAATAATCTTGAATTTCTTTTCGTTTCATTGTTTCATTGTTTCATTGTTCACATGGTATAGTATACCAAATATACCAGGAACGAAGTGATGAAATCACAAAGTGTATGGTTTATTTTGGGTATTCTAACAAATTCTCGACAAGAATAAATCTAGAAATGTTAGCCCACATTATACTATCATTGGCCATAATTCCATAAAATTGTATTTGATTGGTCAATTGTTTGCTTAACTATTAATCCGCTTATGAATCGCTTATGAAACCGTTTATGAAATCGCATAATAATTACGTATAAATCATCATTGTATTTAATTGGTCAATTGCTTAGCAGTAAATTGCTTATGAAATTGATCACGAAGCTGTTTGTCTGTCAACTTATTAGCACCTTTTAATGTTACACCAATATGTAGATCTATTTACGTAGCAAAACACGTGTAGGATACTAGTTCTATGAAAGGACCAATAATTGCGATAAGAAGGAATTGAAATACTTAATCATTTAATCATTTTCGGTCATAACTATTGTCAAATAACGATAATTTTCAAATTCGTGTATCGTGGATCATTTCTCTTTTTGGTAAAAGATCTTGTACCAATCATTGGTTGTGTCATTATTTGGTACACAACCGCCTCAGGGACCCCACGGATTCCTAGACTACATATTCATAGAATAACTTTTAAAATAACTTTTGCAAGAAAATTTTAAAGGTTTTTTAAAACTGGTTGTTATTTTTAGATAATAAAAAACGCTTTTTTTTTGAAATAGAAATCGGTTTTAGTAAAACCTTTTAGTATATATCGCGTAAAATACCTGACTTTAATAAAGAATATAGTCATCATAATAAATGCCCGTATCGGTGTTTATGTCGGGAAAATTTGCTTTTTTGTTTATAAAAAAAATATTAATTTACAACGATATGGACGGAGCAAAAATAAATTACATATTCGAACAATTGATTGTAAATTGATTGTAAAATGCTTCCTTTTTAATAAACAAGAACATCGGAAAAATCGGAATAATTGGAATAATTGAACAAATTGGACAAATTGGAAATTTTGGAAATTTTGGAAAAATTGTAATAACGGAATAATGAAAAAATTGGAATATTCGAACTTGCAAAATAATAAATTTTGCAAAATTGCGTAATTTTTGCATAGTTTCGGTAAAAGGTTGGTCAAATTGAATATAAAATAAAAGCGCGATATTTCTAATCGAACGATATTGTACATTATTGTCCAATATTGTATACATAACGTGATCAAGGTTACACGACAAGCGAAATCCCGACAGGTCATAATCCCGACAAAAAATCCCAACAGCAAAAATCCTGACAACCAAAAATCCGACAGTTAAAAATCCCGACAATTAAAATTCTGATGAAAATAAGTCAACCCTAGCATAACTCTTATCTAAAATGGCCTAACCCTAAAGTTAATTAAATTATAAGAGGCTACTTCGCTTTAAACATACCCCATATTCGGGAGAAAATTCTGACTGTCGGGGATTGTGCTTGTCGGGATTTTGACCGTCACCCCACGCTCAATTTATAATTTTCGTGACGTAATCCTAGGTGGCGCTAGACAACTACCGTATTTTCGCGTAATAACGCGCAGGGGTGTAATTTCAAATTTTGGCCTAAATTAAGTTTAATTCGGGCCAAAATTCGAAATAACGCTCATGGGCGTTATTACGCGAAAATACGGTAAGTTTTTTTTTATTTTTTACATCAAAATGTCAACGTAAGAATGAAATTCATGATTATAAGTGTCTGCACATAAAATTGAATTGTATACTGTCACGTGATGGAGTGTAATTTAGATGTTGAGGGGATGTTATTCCAAAAATAAAATAAATCAAAAATCCAAGCAGGCAATTAATTTGCTATTAATGTTATTATTTTTTATTAGTACAATTGTAATGGTTCTATATACATTCTAATTGTCTTATGCTTACTCTTTTATGCTTACTCTTTTTTGTAAATTATTCTTAACTACAAAAATCGAAATTACAAAACTCGAAACTACAAAAATTGAAATTACAAAATCGAAATTACAAAAGTAAATTACAAATCATAAAAAATAACGAATAAGTGAAATTGTAATTATTTACAATTGATTAAATATTCCACATTCGAAAGTGGAAGATATCGAAGAAATAAAAAAACGAAAGAATAAAATAGCGATAGGTTTTCACGGCTGTGCTTGTGTTTGTCATTAATTGTTTTACATTATAATAATACCAATTTCCGTTTGTTATTCGTTTTGCCAATTTGCGTTTATTATTCAGTTTGCCAATTTACAATGTTCGTTTCATCACTATACAACTGGGCGGCCAAGAAAGCTGGGACAACCGTTGTAAAGAAAATCGGAAAATTCATTATGCGCCATAGGAGGCATAGGTGGAATAGGTGGTCTAGCAGGTATCGGCCTAACACGTCTACGTCGTGGTCGTGGCCTTATAGGAGGTTGAACCAAGGGCAAAGAGACATTATGAATGTACATGTACCTGTTGTGTACTTGTCTATACGGTACCGACATTTTGAATTTCGCCTTGGGGTTTAATAGTAATTGTCAGTGTTGTTGCCGGAAGTAAGATTGATGATGCCACTGGAATTTTTAACAACACTGAATACAGTAACTACGAAATGAGAGGTTTCTTTTATAATTTTTTCGGAACAATTTTTGAAATAATAATTCCGTCATTCATGCTTTTGGAATTCCTTATACACTAAATATAAGTATCATACGATCCTAGTATTTATAAATTAAATATTTATAAATCATTAATAAATCATTCGTATATCAATTAATTTTAATAATCACAACATTCCCGTCAAAAATTTTCGCCCATATGGGTGAGTACACAACAAAACCATGCTTAGAGTATATAGATGACATATACTCTAAGCATGGTTTTGCTGTGTATGTTTGTTTCTCGAGACTAGGGTGGTAACATGGATTTCATTTAAATTTTACACAAAGTAAATCAGACCTCTCTAAGTGCACCTTCTATACGTGCACACTCTCTCTAAATGCACGCTCAGATTCTGGCCCAAATACTGTATATACTTGACCTCTATAAATGCACCTTTCTTATTATTCTCTAAATGCATATTGTTAAAATGTGGTTCCAAGGGCGTGCATATAGAGAGGTCTGACTGTACCAGCATTATGAAAAACTTAGCTAGCATTATCGAACTACCATAGACTTTACATAAAGTTTACTTATCAAAATCGATGACATATAATCAACCAACCATATGAAATCATATGATAGTATGATCACATTTCTTACAAATTACATGAAAAAAACTAATTTTAGCGAAACTCACAAGGTTACGCAAAATTACGTAAAATTACGGTAATTTTACAACCCTAGTCGTTGTCAGGATTTTGGACTTAAATTGTAAATATAATACCACAGGGTGAAATCCACGATAATTTTTGTAAAACCTACGATAGATATGTAAAACCCGCAATAAATATGTAAAACCCGTAACAGATGTGTAAAACCCGTAACAGATGTGTAAAACCCGCAATAAATATGTAAAACCCGCAATAGATGTGTAAAACCCACAATAAATATGTAAAACTCGCAATAGATGTGTAAAACCCACAATAAATATGTGAAACCCACAATATTCATGTAAAACCGCGACGGCTATGAAAATTTGTAGCATTATCTTGTCCTAAACTATTTCCACTTTTCAGCAGATGTTATGCAGTATTCATAATTTATAAAATCCTGTGCCATATTGATAGCAACTAGAAAACGGCGATGTTTGTAGGCTGGAGCTCTAGTTATTAGGTCTTATACTTGGCATTAAATTTAAAATATATAGTATAGTATTTAAATTTAAAATAGTACATATTTAAATTTTATAAAAAGATTACTTACATCAATACTAAATTTACAATTACTATAAAACGCATCTATGGTGTTTTGCACCTATTATATGCTTTTTTAAAGTTTTTATAAGTCTTTTGTATAAAATTTTTAGTACAAATTAAGGTTAAATACTTGCAGTTAGAATTAGGGTTTGGGAACATAGAAAATTTTTATTTAGAACACCTCATACTGATTAATTAGCCAGTTTTTGAGATAATAAATATATAGATGTAATACACCATAGGTGCAATTTAGTAATATTTCTAAATCAATAATAAAAACAATTTTTTTATATTATTTTTGTGTAAATAATATTTGTATTCTGTCAAAAAAAAAGATCTATTAAAAGGATGTTAGCAAATTTTGATTTTTTTTTTATAGTTAAGGTTAGCCTCTTTGGCTTTTTGTTTTTATTAGATTGTAGAATCATGTGGTGCTTTTTTCAAGGGGATCCTAGACAAGTACATTCTGACAGGAGTATATTCTAGCCATACTTGCACTTTTTGAGCACCTAATTTAAGTAGTCTGCCTATTACTAGGTTCTACATTAATTGTCATACCTATAATCTACCTATTATTTATATTACCTAATTAAACTCTTTGATCTGAGTTTTCTATGCCAATCCATCTAATTTCATCCAAAA